CATCATTCAGGCTCCTGTCCTGGATTCCACAGGGTATGGAACCAATTCAGCTGAAACTACACTCTCCTCTTGGTTCCTGTGGACCTTTGCCCATCCTTCCATCCTAGCATGTGTCTGTCTGCCTTGTTTGGAGTTTTTCTCTCTGTGTATGTCCCTTCCAGACTGTGAGCTCCTTGAAGAGAGGGTCCAGGGCGTGTAGTAGGTGCTCAGCAAATGCTTACTGATTTGTCTTCTCTTGGCCCCTGTTCAGACGCCACAGTTTCTTGTTTCAATTTGCCACCCGAGTGGAGACTGACTTCTCAGGCCCTCAGCTGACCTTCATCTACAAAACAGAATCTGTGGGGTGGCTGAGAATGGCCATGAAACAATCTTTAGATGGCAGGCTTGTCGCCTGCTTTTAGCGTTAAAGTGGGTTTAATTCCAGGTTCTGCCATTAGCTGTGTGAACTGAGAACAATCATTGGACTTCTCTGGGCTTCCCAGCTTGCTTCATGTAGTCAGTCCTCTTCCACTGAAAAGCCTTTTCAAATGACTCCCCACCTACAGCAGGATCCCCGAAGGAATCTCAGCTTGTCACCCTCACTCACATGATCTTGTCAAGACTCAAAGGTGATCATATGAGCCTCCTGTTTAAAACCCTTGAATGGGTCTCCATTCCTTCAACTTCAGCTGCCAGCTCCTGACCTTTGACTAATACCTTCCACAGTCTGGTCCCAACTTATTGTCACGGTCACCCCTTGTCACCTTATCCCACATTCTCTTCTCCAGCCACACCGGTTCTAATATTCTGAGGAGCTACCACGCTCTTTCACATCTTCTTTTCACTTGTTCTCTCAGTCTAGAATGTCTTTCTTAACTTCCCCAAATCCTACTTCAAGATTCAGCTCAAATGACTCTTCTTTTGTGAAGCCCTTTCTGATGCCACCCCTTCTGAGGACTGAAACACTTACCTCTTTTTATCGAATTGTATTCCACTTTGACTGCATTTCCTGTGACCAAGGGTAGGTCTCAGACGCCTATGCTAAGGGGCAGGGCTTGGCTGCCCGCAGGGGAACCCGAGGGGGAAGGGAAGGGGGTAAATGGCACCACGGGTAAGGTCAAAGCCAGCAGCCGAAGGACGAAGGGGATGGGAGATCAAAGGAGAGCAAATCCCCATTCTAAACGTCTTGAGACCAAGAGGCCATTGCACCGAACTGACAGCTCTGTTCTCGTCAGCAGGGTCAGCCTCTTGCTAGGCTTCTACCCTCTCTGCCAAACACCTGCTCACACTCAAGGTTGCCAATGTGATGTATCTCTGGGGGTGGCCAAGGATCTCCTGCCCTGCCAGCCTTTTCACTGCACTGACGCGGGCTCTTGGTACCCAACGGCATTGCTGAGGACAGCATGCTGCTCAGAAACACTGAAGGTACAAAGGGCTCCCCCTCGTGGGTGATGTGTGGACTCAAATGTAAACATTAATTTGGCTTCTAAGAACAAGTACTGAATATAATATTTTATTAGGGGACGGGGGGGCAGTGTTCAATCTGACCAGAAAGCCCATAGCCATTTGTTGTCACAATCTCACACACTCCCAGAACGTCTGAGGGAGAGCCAGGATGCTGGTTCCTCCTCTAGAACAGAGCCAGCAGTTCATGGGAGCAGGTGCCAGGGGCTTGGGTACCAGTGGTAGCTCCATCTTGACTCAGTGAAAAGACCTTGGGCAAGTTACTTTGAAACGTTTGTGACTTCATATATATCATATGTGATATTTGATATATGAAGGGCCCCTTCATCCAACTCTCAGCATCACGTCATCCTTGGACTCTTTCTTCTAGGTCCAATAGCACGTTCTTTTCTGATTTCTCAAAGTACTGAGCAGGGGAAGGGCAGAGACAGAAGAGGAGAAGGTAACACAGGTTCTCCTCACATTCCCAGTCCCACCCCACCGTCAGCGCAGGGGAAGACCCATTTCACACAGGGGCTGGAGCGGGGGAGGAAACAAGAGGTGGAGGGTGGAGGCTCTGGTGAGACAGTGGTAACAAAGGAAGATGGTAGGCAGGACACTTCCTGATCCAGGGCAAGTCCCCTTAAGTAAACCAGAGTTGGGGAGGGAGAAGCGAAGAGAGAAGGAAGATGGGGCACCCCTCCCAGGCCGGGTCAGGTCCTCTGAATATAACTAACACCAATGTTCAGAAGTGGAAGGAGGGAGTCCTTGGGCCCCAGCCAGGAAGTGGGGAAGGCAAGCAGGGATGAGGGAGGGAAAGTCACCAAGCCCCACCTTGAGGTGCAGCAGAGCCACCAGAGTGCAGACTTCTACCTCCACAAGTCGTCGTGTTGTGACAGGAGGTGAGGCCAGCCGGACTGCACCCGGGAGTGGCAGTTGATGCAGGAATTACAAAGACCCTGGCTGGGCCCAATTACCTGTAGGACTTCAAATCTGGAAGCTTCGAAGTCACCTAGGGAGCCAGCATGTCTTGCACACCAGCTCTCACCTCACCTGTCCTCCAGCCGTGGCACCTCCTAGGCGGAGTCCGTCTTCTTGTGCCACCAGGCCTCTGCCCTCGTGGGTCCTCTCTCTCCCACCTTCACTAGCTCATTCTGCTCTGCCTTTGAGTTCAGCACAGGTGCTATCTCCCTCTGATGTTCTCCCTGAAGCCCACCCTGGGTTCCTTGCCCCCAGGTGTTCTCTGAGCGCCCAGCATTGCCTTGGCTCTCAGCATTGCCAACTGTTTCCTTGTTCGAATGCCTCACTGAAGCATGAGCTCTTTAAGGACTGGAACTGACCCTTATTGCCTTCTGTACACTCAGCTCTGAGGAGTGCCTGGTCCATAGGAAGGGCTGTTAACCCTGCTGAATGAAGAGGTGGGTTAGTGGAGGAGAGGTGGGGGGCTCAGTCTACTTCCTGTTCCACCCACTGGAGAATATGGTATCTATACCCTCCTGCACCTGACAGCCCTTGAAGTATCTGGTGATGGTTATCAAATTCTGTCCCCAAGAGCATTCCAGACATAAGTAAACAATCCAGTCCCTTCTACACCGCCTCCAAGGCCCTGGCTTCCCATCCCCTCTCCACTGGGCTCCCTCCTCTGACGGCTCTAGAATTTGTCAGGATCCCTTTATGAATGAGGCAACCAGATTGGGACACATGCTTTCACTCACATCCTTATCCAAAATTTACAGAAATGGGCAATGGCTATCATTGCAACAGAAATCAGTAGCTAAGCCAGAAAGGAGAACCAGGTTTTCTGATCCCTAAATCAGTCACATAGTACCTTACTAACATTAGTTAGTACTGGATTAGTAACCTGAACCCAGTTAATTGCCCACGTATATGCTCAGTCTCCTGCCCTGACTCCCCGCCCCTTTGCTAACTCCCAAGCAGCCCTGGCTTCAGTGTGAGACAAAGGCGGAGCTACACATAAGGCCAGCAGCTGATTCTGCCACGAATCAGGGCAGAAGCTGGTGGGGGAAAAGGAGGGGAGAGCACATATCAGGAAAAAATTGCCCCCTCAGGGCAGACCAATTCATTTAATAGCATATTTTTTAAGAACCTAGCTCCCCGGAGCTTATATTTCAGCAGGGAAGAGGGACAAAGCAAAGACATATATTATAAAGCAGATTAAAAGGTGATCAGTGCTACAGAAAAAGAAATAGGGTATGCGCTACCCTGGTGGCGCAGTGGTTGAGAGCCCGCCTGCCGATGCAGGGGACGCGGGTTCGTGGGGAGGATCCCACCTGCTGCGGAGCGGCTGGGCCCGTGAGCCATGGACGCTGAGCCTGCGCATCCGGAGCCTGTGCTCCGCAACAAGAGAGGCCACAGCAGTGAGAGGCCCGCGTACCGCAAAAAAAAAAAAAAAAAGAAAGAAAGAAATAGAGTAAAGAACACTGAGGCGGGGGTGAGCAGATTACAGTTTTAAATACGGTGGTCACAGGAGGCCTAATTGAAGGAGACTCTGGACCAAGACCTGGAGGGCGTGAGGGAGCTAGAGGAGGGGCGTTCTCGACACGGGGCGACCAGAGTGGGACACAAAGCAGGCTCATTTCCTACATCATAAAAAGTACACTGCAGGATGCAGCTCTAGCTTGTAAGAATTAGAAATTAAACAGAATAAGGATTGTTGGCTATTTTGGCTAAAACTGTATATAGACACACATGTATAAATATGTATATGTATACACATATATCTATATACATTTTGATCTCAGGGCAGTAGGATGAAAGGGCTGTTACTTAATAATGCTGGCTTCTGAAGATTTCACAACCACTGCTTAAGGCAAAAGAGGGATGAGGCACTTCACCTGAAAGCTTCCATAAGAGATGGCAGGAATCATAAATACCATGTCCTTTTGGCCTATTTTCTTATTTATGAGGAAAGGTTTTCAGGCAACATGTAACACCCTGGGCACAATCTTTGTAACTAGCTGTAGCACACGTGACACATATAGAAAGTCAGCACAAAGTAGACCAGTAATAATGAAATCTAATGAATAAACATAAGCTATACATTTAACTGATCCATTGCTATACAGAGCGTTTATCGGTATATCAGTTAAAAAATGAGATCTAGTACTAAAGTCTACAGAGGGAGAAAACACTTATAAAATTCACAAATTGCACTTCTTTTGAAATCTCTATTTCCAGAGTCAGTTGTTCATAGCGTCTACACACTCATATTAGTAACTGTGCCCTTTGAAATGCACCCACTGTGACTGGGATCTATTGGCCTGCTTCTCTTTTCTGGGATTAAACGGCTACCTTCACGAATAATATTTGCTAACAACAATGGCCATGGAAAAAAACTGTCAATAAATTGCTATCTTTTGGGGCAGATGGTGTATGGAGTGCTTAATCTCCCCTCCTCCTTTCCTTCCCTCCTTCCCTAAAGGACGTACATATAGACACATCTTTCCACTGTCCCTCAAAACTTTTCATTACCTTTTCTGATGTTCGAATGTGGGTCCAGTCTGGTCATCAAACAGAAAAAGAAAACTGCCGAGAGGATAAGTAATGAACCACTCACATAAGGTATGCACTAATAAAAATTTAATATCATAAAATAAACCAGAAAACAGCAAAAACATTTTTTTAAACCATTCACAATTAAAGTGGAAAGAGACAAAATTATAAGGCAGCCATCCATGGAATGATTTCATGTTTACAAAGGATCCAGAAAAGGGGACATTTAAAATCACCGTTCAGGCTACTGAACCAGGGGAACTGCAGTTGTTGTCCCACGAGACTTCCAACTTGGTAGAAGATGCTATGAGAAAACAGATCAAAGCCAACTTCCCCGTGTTAGGCTGGGCATATCTAGAAAATTCCTAATGGCTGTCTAGCCCTTTTACGCAAGTCATACATTTCCCTCAGGTCTCCTCAGGTGAATCTAGATGTCTCAGGTACAAAGGAGCTACATCACTGGTTTTAATTTCATAGCATCTCCAACAGTGCTCTTGGGGTTATGTGGACCATTGTGTATCGAGCAGAAGTTTTGTAATGTAAGGAAGGTACCCCTGTGGAACGCCTACAGAGAGTTCTCGCCTTGCCCTACAGCAGTTTTGGATGAATCCGGTCATTATTCTCAGTCTCCCAAGGGGGCCCCATAGACAGGAACGTTCTTTGGGGGCTTGTGCTGTTGACATACATACAGTTCCCACGTTCAGTACCTAGCTACCATGTGTCTGAGAGGCTGGCATGTCCTCCGAGTTCTAATCCTTGGAAAAGAGAAAAACCAGGCAATGACACTTAGAAATAGGCCGGTAAAAAACACAATTACATTTTCTCCTTTCTACAAAGAACTGACCACTCAAAACAGCCACCTCTGTCATTTTTCTAATGATTCCAAATACAGGAACAGACTTGGCTGTCTTGAATAGGGAAATAAAAAGGTGATGAGGGGAGAGAGAACAGCATAGCCTCTGTAGGTGGTCCTGTTTCCATTCTCTACACTCCAGTGCAGAACCTTTGCCTAAAAAATGAAATCTGGCAAAATAGCATGCACAGGAAAGCCATCAGACCTGGAACATCGCTGCTTTGGGGATATGGGGACTGACAAGCAAATTCACTGGCGAACAAGTGATGGGAATGCATCAGGAGTGTTTTTCAACTTAATTTGCCATTTAAGAGAGCACTTGAGATCTGAAGAAAGTCTGTCCCTACCGAGGAAAGGGAGTGAAACTGCGATTCAGGTTAACTTTGGTTATGAGGAAGGAAGGGCCATGCTTTCCATCATCAATTGCATCTCTCTGGTAGCGACAACCCCACCTGTAACCACGGCAGCAACTTAAGTATTGCCAAGGTTTTCAAATGTGTGAGAGCATTAAGGCATCCACGTCGAAGGAGGCAGTTTTAAACAAGAGGAAAATGGAACTGAAATGTGCCAATAAGTGACCATCAGTGTGACCTCTCCTGGGACACTGCCCACCATGAACAAGTCCTTCCCCCCGTGAAGGAGGCCTCTGCCACGCTGCTCGGTTCCTTGCTGCCTGGAGATGCATTTGAGCCCTGTAAGATTAGTATGGCTATTTCTGCCTGCTGACCAGGAGGGAAATAAGTGCTTCCGAGGCAGCAGCTTTAAAATCTGGGAAAGCCCATAGCTCTTGAGAGCTGATAGGCCGTGAAAGGTTTGCTTGTTAATGTGAGGTCCAGAGGGGAAGGCAAATTTGGAAGTTAGATGGTCTGATCCTTGCCAGAGTTCAAGGCCCTACCCAGCAAGATATTGTAGCCAAACTTTTAAGTGTGATGGCAAGGCACTGCTGAAAGAGGCTTCGGCCAGCAGAACAAACTTCTGATCATTGCACACAACAATATGATAGAAAGTGCCACTATCCAAACCGAACCAGACACTAAAATGAGCTATTTACTTAACTAAGTAAATTTCCGGGGAGAATCAAGGCAACTGTGTTATTTTGAAGGACCAGACGAAACCCTATGACTCTCTCCTAAGTCAGAGCTGTTATCAGGAAAGTCACTTAGACTTTCATACTGTACCTTCTGTTGGTTTTAATGTCGTACACAATGGCTGCCAGCCACTATCCAGAACCAGATCCTGTTTATGCTACTTTGGTCTACAGCCAGCAGAGGGCTCTCAAGTTCTTTTTCCCCAGCTGCTGACCCAGTAACAAATCTAGGAAGGAAATAAAGATATCCTGGGCATGCTGGCTTATGTGTCATATAAAATGTTTTACAAACTCCTAAATCCAATGCCCTGACGAAAACAGTCTTGGTTCCCCCTTTCTGTAACGTGGTTTGAAATGGTACAGAAAATCAAAATAAATTAACAATATATCATATACTTATTTGATAACATAAGGTTTACAGGGATTTTGGCAAATATGGAAAAATTATCCTAGTTTGCTTAACACTTTTACTATCTCAATTGTTTAAATTACCAGAATATTAGTGATTGTGTCATCTCACATATGAGGAAGTGATATTTTAAGGGCTTAATAAAGCTGCATTTGACACAAAGGTAACTTCACTGAAAGGAATAAAGAACAGACACGAGACTATCTTCATCATCACAGTTCAAGAAGTGGTTGTCCTGATGAGAGAACTCAACTCACAAATATTAACATCACCACCAGCAGTAAGCAGCAAATTGTAGCGAGGAAGGGCTGGAGGGAAAAGTTAGGAGAAAAGCATGGAAAAGATGAAGAGACAAAAGACATGATTTTAATAAGCTTTAAATCAACAGGCAAACAATTCCCATTATGATACATCTTGACTTTCTTCACTGCTACAGGTGCTTATGTGACACTGACCTAGCAGTCCCCAAGGGGCACCAAGTATTTTGCCAGAGGGACTGCTGGTCTGCTAAGATAAATACTTAAAGAGACAAAAAAAGGACAACATAGGTTTTGGTAATCTTACTTTTAAAAAGGTTACTACAAAGATGTCAGTAACTATCCGAATTCACTTATAATTGAATCCCCTTTAATTTCCAAAGATACTTTGGGACCTGACTGTTCCTGAAGGAAAGCCTATGCCTAAGGAAAGCCCACCTACTAGAACCTGGCTCCTCTATAAAGAATGTGCTGTACAGGCAGCTACTCTACACAAAGGAGAACTTGAAAAGAAATGCTTTATAAAACACTAGTTACCTCTTTAAAAGCTAGTCCACCTCTGTTGCTCCATTGGATGGAATGGCAGGCTCTCTTTAAAGAGACAAGTGCAGAAGGAGGTGTTTAAAAGACTCTCCAGACATACCCTCTTCAGTGGATCTCTCTCTCAAGTATAAAGTCAGCTTTCAATGTGTCTTGCCGTCCTTTTCCTGACTCTAGCCCCAAATGAACTACTTATCTTTAGCATCTAAGACAGTGGGCATTATGACCTTCATTCAAGGCATAGATGTGGCATAGATGCGGCATAGATGCTAAAGCACCAGACTTACACGGCGAGAACCATGTTAAAAATCAATGGATTAAAGTGGCAGAGCCTCGAAACTAAGAAAGAGATTTAGCTTAATTACAGAACACTGTACTTTCATAATTATTTCATTATGAGTATGAAGGTCTCCACTTTTCCTTAAAACTAAATTCCATCTTCCCTGAGAATAGGGTTAAGGGAAACAAGAAAACTCAAAATGCCAAGGGCCCTTGAAAAGACAACACATGGAATGTCTGTATCCTTCGCAGTGTGTTGTTTCTACTCGAAAAGCTTTCCATTGCTCCAGGTTTTCATCTCACCTCCCTCCAGAATCTTTAGGGTTACGGGTGGAGATGGGCAAGGCGAGACAAGAGACTGAGGAAGTGAGCAGCTGTCACGTGCTGGCTGTTCTCACTGGATGGAAAACGGCCATGGCCTGAGGCTGGACCCTCAACAGTCAGTGCTGGTGTCCTACTGACAGAGCGAGCGGGATGAGGCAGCCCAGAACCAGGGCTGCTACCTCCAGGCGGCTGAGGCCTCTCCCTCCAGCGGGGTCGGGTTTGTGGCTGTGCCCCATTCCGCCTACCTCAGGGAGGACATGCACCGTGGCAACATAAAGAAATGTCCCAGCAGAGAAAAGCATGGCCACTCCAGTGGCATTGACCTCTGAAAGGGCTTCTTTACTGCTCTGTGAAGTAAGGTAGAGAAGAAAAATTAAGTCAAGTAAAATCCAGAGGCAGGAAGAAGTCCCAACAAAAAAATACCCAATATTCATAACTCGTGTTATCTGGGGCACCGGGGACATCCTGAGATCAGAACGATCTTGTTATTTATGGGAAGCTTCCAAACAAGGGTTTAAGACTATTGGTGATGTACACGATTACTTTTTCAAACAAACTTCAAGTCTGGTTGAACAGGTTTGGCCTATATTATTAAGATGGAATCAACAGCATTAATGCAGATATCAAAGTTCATACATTCATTCATTTATTCTACTAATATTAGCAAATATGCCATATGCACCAGGCTCTAGGCCAGTGCCTGAGATACAGTGGGAATCGAGACACAGTACTTGCCCTCACAGAGCCTAGAAATATCTCGTAAGCTAATCTTTATACAATTCATTTCAATTTTTTTTTTTTTTTTTTTTTGCTGTACGCAGGCCTCTCACTGTTGTGGCCTCTCCCATTGCGGAGCACAGGCTCCGGACGCGCAGGCTCAGCGGCCATGGCTCACGGGCCCAGCCACCCCGCGGCATGTGGGATCTTCCCGGACCGGGACACAAACCCGTGTCCCCTGCATCGGCAGGCGGACTCTCAACCACTGTGCCACCAGGGAAGCCCTCATTTCAATTTTTTTAATGAAAAAAGTGGACCTACTAAGACAATTAATTGAAAATTTAAGAACATGCCATAAATGTAATATGTAACTTCATGCCTCCAAAATTATCATACCTTCCTCTCAAAAGTTCTAAAAACTTATATTGATCAATGCAGTAATAAATAGGGTAATATTTATTTATTTAGGCTGCACTGGGTCTTAGTTGCAGCATGTGAGATCTTTTAGTCGCAGCATGCATGCAGGATCTAGTCCCCTGACCAGGGATCGACCCCGGGCCCCCTGCCTTGCCAGCGTGGAGTCTTACTCAATGGACCACCAGGGAAGTCCCAATAGGGTAATATTTAAAAGGGAACTACGTATTGCTCAGTGACTAAAAGACGATAAAGCTCACAATCAGGGGTTAGCAATCCAGATCAACTAACCCTTGATTAACAGGAATTAACCATTCTTTAACCATCTCATTTCTCATATGTTCCTTTCAATACAAATTTTACTATATCAAATACGAATTGAATGATGCTCAGAAGAATCAGTGACCTTCAGAGACAGTGGGGGAAAGTGGTTTCCAGGAACTAGCCCTGACTTGGCTTGGTTCTAAGATTTTCCTCCTGTTGCCTGCCAATTGATATTTAAGTAAAATGGGTAAGGCTGCTGCTAAGAACTGCGGCCCTAGTGGACAAAATTATAAAGCGTGGAAAGGTCCAACTGGAGCAACAGAGCAGAATGCCCGGGCTCTGAGGTGACAAGCGACACATGCCACTTCAGGTGGGGAGCTACACTGAGTGCAGTGACGAAGCCCTGGGTACTTAACATGCAGTGATATGAGAGCTGGGAGTAGAAGAATCTGAGTCTTAGCTGAATACAGAGATCTCTGCTCATCCCTTACTGCTCTCAAAGCTGCTGCAACCTTGTCCCTCCCTCTTCCTGTGCCTACTGAAACATTAAATACATTCTGTTGTGACTTATTATGTATCTGTCAAATAAAATTAGCATGTCTGATAAGGCTTAAGTTGTATTATTTTAAAGATCATATATTTGTGCAAGTATTTTTGGAACTGATGGGGAAGAAGTTTTCGAATTAAATGAATAAGAAAATGCTCCAAATTTATGAAGAGGATTGACTTGGAATTAAGATGTACACTTTGTACAGGTTTTTAATTCGAATTTTATCTTTAGTTTGAGGGGGTAATTTAACTGAAAAATTCAATATAAGAGACTACACCTTCTAGTAGATCACAAAGAATTAGATACTTGTCTAGATAAGCTAGGAATGAGTCAGACTTACCTTACTTAGTCCTAAGTATGTCACCATGGACATAACTGGTGCTGCCAGTGCAAAGACCAGTAAGTGCTTTCTGATTCGATTCCGCTCGAGGCCTGCATGCATTAAGAAGGAAACCAGCCCAAAAGCAGCTGGTGCCTGGAAAAGAAAAACTATCCCTTGTTACTCTGGAAGTTTGCATTGCTTCTACATTATGAAGTACATATCATTTGACTGAATTCTCATACAAGAAAACCAGGCATACTAGTAAGTCTGGGCTTTGCCTTTTAGGAATTAATGTTCTAAGCTAGAAAATATCCCATTTGTGTATGTGTGTGCGTGTATGTGTGTCTGTGTAATAGTTAAGAAAAGAGTATAAAGAAAGGAAGAATATTTATGAACAAAAATTACTATGAAATGTAGAAATCTGTAGAGGACTTAACAGTTTGTGTATATGACCATAAAAAAATAAAACCCCTTCAAGTATAAGGTTAAGAAAATGGTAGCAAAAGGCCCAGCTATGAACAGATTTATTCAATTCTCTAAAACGAACAGCAATTACGAAAATAACTAAAAAAATTTCCATTCCAGAAAAACATAATGACCAAAGAGAAACTCTAATTATAAGTGTAGTCAATACCAAATCTTACACCAAAATTTTGCTTACCTTATGTAGCATTATTGCCACAAACACAATTAACTGGACACTAGTTTGTGAAGTAGAAGCTGCTGCTCCCAAAGCAACACCGTCAGCTGAATTTGGAAAAAGTGAAACATAAAACACTATAACTATAAATAACAACTATAATAGTTGGTGAATGACTGTGTGGGCTTTAGAGTCAGATAGAGCTGGACTGGACTCTGGGACGGTTACTTAACCTTTCTGAACCTTAGCCTTCTCATTTCTACAATGGGTTCAATAAAGTATGTATTCCTAGGGTTTTCATGAGGTAACATATGTGAAGAGCTTAGCATAGGTGCTATTCAATATTCAATTTGTCAGTTATTGTTGTTGTTGGAAAAGTATGATGCTCAAAAATCTACTGATTAATCAATCAAACTGTAATAACAGAAATATCAAAGAATTTCAAAGGAAGCATCTCTGCATCTTGCAGATGAAAAACCAAAATAAAGACACCGCGACTTGGCATAGATGACTTATACGTAATGAGTAAATAGTGGTTGAAATGGATGAATTTTTTTGTTAGAAAAGCATGTTTTACTACAAAGTCCAGATAAGAGTGTGTCACCTTTCACATGCTTTTGTCATTTACAGAGCCCTACTACTGGGACTAGTTTTGGTTATGATTCTAAGGCATGCCCTGTCAGCAATGCTGAGACTTCGACACTCTACAGCCTATCTCTGCCTCACCTGGCACTTGGGTAGATACCCAGCACCAGGGCTACTGAGTACAAAAGTGAGCAGGCTCTTATGCAGATGAGATCTTACAGTAGAGGTCAGCAAACTTTTTGTTAAAGGGATAGATAGGAAGAATTTTAGCCTTCGTGAGTCATTTGGTCTCTTGCAACTACTCAACTCTACCATTGTGTGAAAGCAGCCACAGATAATACGTAAACAAGTGGCCATGGCTGTGTTCCAATACAACTTTACTATGGACACTGAAATTTGAATTTCATGTATTTTTCACGTGCCACAAATTATTTTCATCCATTAGGAAATGCAGAACCATTCTTATTGCAACCCCAACACTGAGTACTCCAGGGCTCATGCTTCTGTTGGAGGCCTTCATTAAGCAACCCTTTCCCCAAAAGACCAGCCCTAGAGTATTTCATGTGGATGGTCCCTGTGTGACAGAAAAGAAAGGGGTTCCACTGCAATCTGACCCTACCTGCAGCATGGACGACCAGACCCAGCGTGGTGGTGATTTTGGAATTGCTAGGCCTTGCTGTTTCTGGATCTGAAGTAAAAATAAGCAAGTCAGCCATGAAGCAACGTGAAACAGAAACTATTAGAATATTCACCTGCAGGTGGAAGAAGTCTTTGAAAGCTCTTAAAGTAGAAGATTATTATTTTCCTCACTATTGTCTTTTTTCTTCTGCTTCAAACACTTGGAAGTTTCCCCTGTCCTGAAGAGGTGGGCAGGTGGAAACTCTTCATTTGACCCAGGCTTCCCTGAACAGACAAGATGTCACCCCAGGGCTTCCCTGGTGGCGCAGTGGTAGACAGTCCGCCTGCTGATGCAGGGGACACGGGTTCGTGCCCCGGTCCGGGAAGATCCCACATGCCGCGGAGCGGCTGGTCACATGAGCCATGGCCGCTGAGCCTGCGCGTCCGGAGCCTGTGCTCCGCGACGGAAGAGGCCACAACAGTGAGAGGCCCGCGTACCGCAAAAAAAAAAAAAAAAAAAAAGACGTCACCCCAAACAGCCTCACACCTCTTAACGCTTCACTTCTCCAAGGAAAGTGCTCTGTGGCGTCTGACCACCTCTCTAGACCAATCTCATTGTCATTGCCTACCCCCTCCCCCTCCCCAGCCTCCTGCAACTTTATCTGTATTCTAACATCAAAATGTCGTTCACATTTGCCTTTCTCCATTTTGTTGCCACCATCCTAACCTAAATTTTCATCACCTCAAACCTAAATTAGCAGTAGGCTCCCATCTGATTGTCTCCCCTTATTCTCATTTCTCCCTAACCTAATTCATCTTACACATCCTTGTCGGATTCATCTTTCTGAATCACCACCCTTGTGATGGGTCAGTTAAGAATCTGTTGCTTTTCAAATTCAGTCCAAACTGCTCTGTTAAGTAGGTCTTGAGCCCTCTATCAACTGGTATCATCTTTTTTTTTTTAAATAAATTTATTTATTTTTGGCTGCATTGGGTCTTTGTTGCTGCTCACGGGCTTTCTCTAGTTGAGAGAGCGGGGACTACTCTTCATTGCAGTGCGCAGGCTTCTCACTGTGGTGGCTTCTCTTTGTTGCAGAGCACAGGCTTTAGGCATGCGGGTTTCAGTAGTTGTGGCTCGCAGGTTCTAGAGCACAGGCTCAGTAGCTGTGG